CCAGCTTATATGTTACTGTAACAAAATGATCTGATGTATACAGTAGTACAGCTTATGAATAAAACTCCATCTTATATGTTACTGTAACAAAATGATCTGATGTATACAGTAGTACAGCTTATGAATAAAACTCCATCTTATATGTTACTGTAACAAAATGATCTGATGTATACAGTAGTACAGCTTATGAATAAAATTCCATCTTATATGTTACTGTAACAAAATGATCTGATGTATACAGTAGTAGGCCTACACGTGTTTTTGTGGTTCATTAAGAAGATTTTTTTAGGTTACTCTTTAGCTGGTTTTAAAATTTTTGAGAATGTAGTAGTCAAGCTTATTGTTATACATACTAGTAGAAATATATGCCTACAGCCTTGGGAATCCACTAGTGCTGTAGTTTAAAGCTGTTGTAAGACTGTTTGTCAAACGTTATTTATGTGGCTATTTCATTTTTTTAGAAATAAAGTTTGAAAATTTCAAAACAGTATTTTATTACCATCTCGTATTAGTTTTACAAAGTCCTTTATCCTTTCTTGTACTAAAAATAGAAAATGATTTCCAAGAACATTAAGTATGTGAAGAGAAACTCTGTGATAAAAGTGGGGTATTGAGTATAAGTACTACTTTTAGTGGCTTGCATCCACAGCATTTGAAAGATAACTTTTTCAAGCTTATTATTATATCTGTTATTACAGTTACCCTTATAACTCTTAATGAACAGCTCAGAAACTAGAGTTGTGCTCGATTCACCTGTCAAGAACATATTTTGGATGTTATTTTCCGGTAGATGAATCGAGTGAACCAGAACAAGTGAGTTAGGACTTCCAATATGGTGGATAAGGCATCAGTCCTCCTTGTTTTCAGTTCTAAGTAGTTTGATAATGATGATGATGCTCAGCAGAATAATGACAAAACTGTCTAAATTTTATTTCTTGTATTAACCCTTGTTTTGTTTGAGCATTTATTGTGATAATTTTAAATTTGTTTAAATTGTTTTTTCCATTTCTTAGTTACTAAACTAGTGACATGGTTTCAGGAGTAACATAAAGTAACTTCAACTGTTTTTAAAAAAATGTTGAACTTTTTGTTGGATCTTATGCATTGTCTTCTTTGATAGATGCAGTTCACACACTTACCTGCTCCTTATTGTTATTAAACACTGATTTGCATGCAAATGTAAGTATTTCTAGATTTTTGTCTATTATTTTGACTGGATTTTGATATGATTTTTAAGTTTCGATAGACAGCCATGATTAATCTGTTAAAAGTTTTATTGACACAAGTGGCCTTAACATAAATAAATTAAAACTAAACCATTGTCTTGTACAGAAAGGTAAAAGTGTAGTGTGTTTTAGAACTTCGTAAGTATGGCTAACAATGTATGTTATATAATGTCACAATCCTATATGTTTGTGTTATTAGGTGATTTGGAAAACAACTGTCTTATCAAAGAATATATCTTTTTTTTTATTACCCACTGCTTTAGAATGTGGGAACTAAGATGTCTTATCAAAGAATATATCTTTTTTTTTATTACCCACTGTTTTAGAATGTTGGAACTAAGATGTCTTATCAAAGAATACATCTTTTTTTTTCATTACCCACTGTTTTAGAATGTTGGAACTAAGATGTCTTATCAAAGAATATATCTTTTTTTTCATTACCCACTGTTTTAGAATGTTGGAACTAAGATGTCTTATCAAAGAATATATCTTTTTTTTTCATTACCCACTGCTTTAGAATGTTGGAACTAAGATGACTTTTCCTGATTTCGTTAAGAATTTGTCGTCTCTTAATGACGGAGAAGACTATCCTAAAGAACTGTTGAAGGAGCTATACAATTCAATCAAGAGTTCTCCTCTAGAGTGGGCAGTGTAAGTTTAGTGTTGTAGTATGAATATGGAAAGATTATACATTTTTTTATGTTGATAAGTTAGTTTATGGTAAATTTAAACATTAAGCCATTTAAATGTAAAAGACATCATAAAATCTTCAAGTTTTCCAATGTTGTTTTATTTTGTGTTTTACCAATTTTGATCCTCCTATGTATATTATCAAAGAAAATCTGTATACATGATGAAAAGTTGTCATTTCTTTTTTCCTGTTTAAACAGAGTAGAATATGCTATATAAAAACCTTTTTGGAGCCTTGATGCACCATTATAGTCCATGTTTGGACATTTTCTATCAGATGACTGTATGTCTTGAAAGTAGCCCTACTGCATATTTTCATTGCTAAATCTCTATTATGAGTCAGTTACATCCAAAGCACACTGATCATCTCTTCAGGCTTTCTGTAATCCGTCTAGCTTATGAAGATTACTGTTTCTCAGTGGCTGTTTCAAGATTTGGATCACACAGAAATCCACATGTTCTATGTGCAACAACTTGATTGGTATTGCATTCATATGGAATAACACAAATACCCATTTAATTTTCCAGATGGTTGAGGTGTGTGATTGTTGAATGAAATGTATGAATGAAAGCATTAATTTTGTAAACCCATACCTTGTTGACCTTGTGTTTGGAAGGAGGTCCTTCTTGATTACATTGTGTATTGTTGCCTGGGGCACATGAATGGCCTTTACTGTTGAGTTTTATGTTTCTGGATTCTTACCTTTTACAAGACACCTACTCTGCTTACCATGGCAGGTGTAAAATGTGTTGCAGATTATTCAGGATGGTCCTGTCATCCTAAGTAATTCCATCTTCCTTTGTTTTACAATATCAATAAGTATAAGGGATATCTCCATCTTGAAAATTCTAAATCTCCTATCTGAACACATCTTTATTGTCTGAGTGTATGAATATTTTGTGTCATAAGGGGCAGTTACACACCTTTATCCAAAACAGTAACTCTTCAGTGGCATCACATTATGTACGAAATGCCAGAAAGCTTAGTGTAGTTCTGATACATTCCTTTCCACCAAGACTCTATAATGGCTGTGGTTGTCATGTGACTTGCTTGTTTGTATAACCATTCCTCCGTATTGTATTAGGAATCTCTATGACTTTGGAAATACTTGAAGAAGTAGCAATTCTTCCAGGACATAGTTGAAATAGTCAGTACCAGACCTTTTCTCTAAAAACGTTCTCATAAGTATGGGAATATTTCACTCTTAAGTACCATTTGACAGTCAGTACTTTTATACTTTTACATAGCACAGATAGCCCATTGTGTTGCTTAACAAAAAACAAAGCTGTCTCTTTTGTGCATTTCATGAGCTTGAACTTGTGTGTGTAACATGACAACTCTCAATCACCTTCTGTTTATACTAATTATATGGGAGTAGTTAATGGACACCCTCTGTGATTTGTTGCTTTTGATGTGATCATTTCTGCTCCAGTGGTACAAAGTACAGCAATGAAACTGCAAAAACAGTTATAATTTTTGTTTCACTCAGACTGACTCAGAAAAGGCTTTATTACTTCACAGACAGTAAAAACAATTATAATTTTTGTTTCACTCAGACTGACTCAGTAAAGGCTTCATTACTTCACAGACAGACCATTAGTAGAAACAGTTATCATTTTTGTTTCACTCAGACTGACTCAGTAAAGCTTCATTACTTCACAGACAGACCATTAGTAAAAATAGTTATAATTTTTGTTTCACTCAGACTGACTCAGTAAAGGCTTCATTACTTCACAGACAGACCATTAGTAAGAACAGTTATAATTTTTGTTTCACTCAGACTGACTCAGTAAAGGCTTCATTACTTCACAGACAGACCATTAGTAAAAATTTATAATTTTTGTTTTCCAAAATTTTTTGAATTGGTTGGCTGGGTATGATATGGTAGTTGGTTAGGTATAGCATGGTAGTTGGTGGTTAGGTATAGCATGGTAAGTTGGTTAGGTATAGCTGTGG